TGAATTTGGTGGCAATTTGGGGATGAATTTTGGGGGACATGATGAAGCCTTTATGGGGCTACACCTTGTGCACTGGAAACTGACACCACAAGTGACCAATTAGTGACCCTCCAAATGTTTCTGAACTACTCCCAACTCTCTCTTCACTAAATTTGCAGAGAGTTACAGTTCAGTAAGTTCTGAAGGATCAAATCCTACTCCTTCCATTGGCATGCATTGAGACCATTTTGCACCACAGGAGGTAGATGCAGTAAACTACGCATGCTATGAGCAACAGGTGCATCACTTAGCAGCATCTTTTGTAAATAAGTTTTAAAAATGATTAAGGAGATAGCCACATTGAGTTGTCTATCTGTAAAACTGAACTAGCAACTTACTACAGCCCGAAGTACCTCATCGATCCTCATGTAAAGGAAGAATGGTTCCATTTTTCCGGATATCAAGCACACATTTCAGAAAGACAGTCTTTCTACCCTGTGTCTGAATGCTGCTGAAAACAACTTTAAAAGTCTGCAAAAAGTGCTGCAACCTGTTGCAGGAGCACCTATTGCTCCTCTTTGGAGCAATAATCCCAGTAGACTGACACACCTAATTCACCAAAGGAAATGCCATTTAGTTTTGTCAATATGTTTTTAAATATAGAGCAATTCTGAAGGTTTACTCCTGGGACTTGATGGACCTGAGGGTGCTTCAGGGCTTTGCCCAGCCATCTGGCAAGCAGTTTCACCACGCCTCTGTCATGTTCTGGAGTAAGGAAGCAACTAGATTATTGGAGGTGATTGCTCTGAGCAACCTCTTTCCAGTCCCTGTTCCCAGGATGCATCTTGGTTTACCAAGGAGTTCCAGGAAATGAAATCAGTGAAGGCATATCTAGAATTATGATGGCAAAAAACTTAGAGTAGACATGACCAATCATAGGTATGAGCCCATGTTTGGGCCTACACTGTGGTGATAAGAGTGGTGCCTCACTTGTGCTTCTTCACCCCTACTGAATCTGCAGAAACACATCCAATGGTCCTGTTCAGAGTAACCCACTCCTTTTTGGGATTGGGTGGTTGGGATAATAATCATGTTTGCAAGATCCTAGCATGGCTAAAATAGCTCATATGTGTTCAAAATTAGATAACACTTGGACAGATAGTATGATGCCTGGATAATATCCCATTATCTGAGATGCATTATCTGAGATGTACTTGCACAGTAGGAGTCTCAAATCATTACAAGTGCAACATGAGGACTGGTTCATTAGACTGAGGACTGCAACACTTTAGCCTTTTTATGCATTGAGATAAAAGTTACTTACTTTTAATAATCGCATTTCAACCTGTATCTGAGGCTCTCCAGATGTTACTGAATCTAAGGGCCAATAGCCCCAGCCACACCTGGCTGAGGTTGAAAAGTACTGGTTGCTGTACCTCAGCAGCTTCTGAAAGGCCACAAGCAGCCCCCTACAGATAACTGACTTTCAAGGGGAAGCTTCAGTTTCAAAGGAAGAAATATTATTCTCACCTCTACCCCCTTGGTCTCTGATCAAACTTTCAAGTCTTTTGCTACTAGGGGCAAAAGAGGATTTTTGCAGCGTTTCTTTTCACTGCCCAGTCCTTTCACATGTACTCCAGCCAGGATTGTTGCATCTCATTCCTGCCTCCTTAGCCCCTCTGATAGTCCCACGAGGGTTCTTTCCAGCTCTTGCCTTACAGGTACAACCTACCCACCTGGCATGCCCTTCCCACAGAAAGCCTCCAAGCTATATCAGGATCCCTTTCATCAAAACGGGCCTCCCAATCCTTGCTAATCTCTTTCAAGGGCCCAGGCTGAGACAAGGCTGCTTGGGATGGTGCCATAAATTTCCCTTTCTGCTTGTTCTTTTTTTCCTTTCTTTTGGGAAGGACGGAACTCTTTCAAAAGATGACTTTGTTCCTCCAAAGACTGACTGTGAAATAGGGTGGGGGATGGAGAACCAAAGAACAGCACTCCTTGTTCCTCTTCCCAGTTAACCTTCACCACAGAGAAGGTGGAGGAGAACCCAAAAAGAGGCATGCAGCCCGGGTAATACATATCTGCTAGAAATGGGAAAGCACTGCTAACAACACAGCACTGGGATGAAGTTCCAGCACTGGTGGTTTCATCATGGCTTCACTTCATTCTTTCCCTTATAGTGAGTAGGGAAGCTTCCAGCCAGGTTGTTGATGCCAGCTATGGCTCCCACAAATAGAAGGAGCAATACCTGGCAGTTGTCTCCTTTTTCCTCCCTCTACCAGCCAGACTGCCAGCCCAGTGGCTTGATACATAAGAAAAAGCCTTCAGCAGCTGACCATTGGTAGCCCAGCTTGCCCTTCAGATATCTTCCTCATCTGTTCTGCCTTAGTGACTTCTTTCAGTTGGCTGAAGGAAGACGGATCCAGAGAGATTAGGGGCAGCAGCTGCCTGCATTCATTTATAAGCCCTGCCAATTTGTCTATCTACTTCCACAGAAAACCTTCAAGCTGTTTTTGAAGGAAACTGAGGTGCTAGGAGCAGTGCACCCCAACTCTGAAGATGGGGTAACATGAGAAGCTTTGGAGTGTGCAACAGGACATATGTTTGAGTACCCTGATGTCAAAGCAAAGGAAGTAGATAGGCTTCTTTGTAATATGAGCCATGTTACCTGCAGCTAGATCTATCCTCTTCCTGGCTCCTGTGGGCAGCTGTGTGTGTGTATGACTGATCTGAGAGGTGGGGAAGTGCCATCAGGCTTGAAACAGATGGAGCACCTTCTCCTGAAGAAGCCATCTTTCTTTCTACCTATGCTTTTGTGTATCCAGACTTTTCTTTCTGGGTATAGTTTTGGAGAAGGTGGTGAGGAATCAGCTACTAGAGCAGTTCCTAGATGAAGGAGGTTATCTGGATCCCTTCCTGTCTGGATTCCATTGCAGGCATGGGATAGAAGCTAAAGCATAGGTTGCTTTGGTAGATGACCTACATGGGGATCTGGAAACCTGCCCCTCCCAGTCTTTTTGGATTTCTCAGTGGCCTTTGATACCATCAATCAAAGTATCTTATTGGACTGCCTGTGCGGGTTGGGAGTTGGGGTAACTGGTTTGTGTTGATTCCTCTCTCTCTCTCTCAAAGAAATTTTTACAAAGTTAAAAGATAAACATGAAAAAATATAGAAGAAAAGTAGGAAAGGAAGAAAAATAAAGAAAAAAGTGTTGAAAACAATAGAAAGTAAAGAAAAAGAAGTGACTTCCGATCTTCTTTAAAGCATACAGTATATAGACATACTTGATACCATTTCCCCCCTTCAAAATTACATAACATAGTTCCCTTCTCCCCATATACAGCCCTTGTTAATCAGTAAATCCAGAAATCACCAGTTCATTTTTATCCATTTTCAGCAAAAAGTCCATAAAGGGTTTCCAGTCTTTTATAAAAGCAGTTGTCGTTCCTTCACTTATCAAACAAGTCAATTTAGCTATTTCTGCAAGTTCTATCATCTTCATGGTCTACTTCTCTGTTGTAGTTTCACATATCAGCAGGATGTTTCAGTCTGCAGTAATGGGGAATGAGCAGTCAAACCTATGAGCACTCCAATACAGGGTGTCCTGGCATGCAACACTTTTCCCTTTGTTAAACTTCTGTATTAAGTCATTAGTACAAGTCATCAATTAGTTTGGGGTAAGGTATCAACAATATGCTGATGATTCTCAATTTTACATTGCCCCTAGCTCAAATTAGAGATGCTATGGAAATCCTGATCCAGAATTTGGAGGCTGTGAGGGTCTGGATGTGCCAAAACAAGCTTGGGTTGAATCCACCTAGAGATATCCTGGAACCAAGCCATAACTTAGGGATGGTCCCTGTAGGTGGGATCTACACAACCTGTTTGTACAAGTAGGAAAGGGGTGCTTAGGGTCCCATACTAGAAAAGATCAAAGGGATGTGGACTCCAGTGCAATCCTTCACTGTAGTAGCCCCCTTGTTATAGAACACTTTACCTCCAAAGATGCATTAGGCACTTCATTATCTAGAAAATGGTTTTGTTTCAAGTGCATATTTGGTAATTGATTTGTGTGTGTGTGTGTGTGTGCTTTTGAGTCAGTGTCGACTTCTGGTGATTGCCTGGACTAGTTTTTGCAGTTCTCTTGGCACCATATTCAGAAAAGGGAGTTTGAGGGTTCTGCACAGCATCTTAGCTGTTCCTAGCACTGCACTCTTCTAGACAAAGAGCTCTGTTGTTGTTCCTGGGATCTGAGAGCCACTCTCCCAGCTTAGGAGTCACGGCCCTGAGTGCTCCTACCACCACTGGGGCCACTTTGGCCTTTACTTTCCACATCTTCTCTAGTTCCTCCTCCTTTGCCCTTGCCTTCTTCCTAGGGCTGAGAGAGAGCCTTTGTGCCTAAGGCGGAAACCACAGTCTCCTGGTTTGTAGCCTGGTACCTTAATCACTACACCAAACTGGCTCTTGACAGTATTATTTCACAGTATTATTTGTATGATTGTATAGTGCTCTAGCTGCCATACACACATCCACAGATGCATACATACACCCTCATATTTAAACTGTTGTGCTGGAGTCTTGAAAGCTGAGTGGTGTATAATTTGCATAAACAAATAAGTAAATTTCTAGTGTAGCTTCCATGATATTTAATAGAGCTGTAATGATGAGCTGGTAAAATAAGTCATTGAAAAAAATTAGTATTTCTGGCTTTTAATCTTATTAGGACTATAGATATGTCACTGAAATGAGCATAACCTTGGAAGAAAATACCTCCAGTTCTATTTTTGCACATTTACGTAATATAAGCCTTACTGATTCACTGAAGTGTACTCCCAAGTAATTGCTGTCAGTATCCTGCACAAGTACGTGGCCTCTGTTCTGTGAAAAAGAGTTCCAATTTTAACTTGTCAGACAAATCTTTTTCACCACTGTTTGTTTTCTACAGAAAGAAGTTAGTTGAAAAAAGAATGGAATAGTTACACAGTACCTTTTAATTGCTAGTGCTACACACTGTGTTTAAAAGCATCCCTGATTTAGAGAAAATAAAAAAAAATCACTGTTCTTTTCCCCCTTGTCCTTTGTAATGGCTGGGTCTAATAAAATTACTGAACAGACACTTACTGAACAGACCAAATTCATCAGTAACACTACATTTTTTAGAAAATCAATAGTACAAGTGTGTCCAAAAGTCCGTTTTATTAAGGTAATTGGACAGGTTTTAATAATACAACCCACCTTAAACATTAGAAGTTGAGCCCATTCATCACCCTTAACTTAACCACAGACACCTTTTTCTGAATAAAACATTGTACAAGATATTCCTTATTGCCTCTATTAAGAAAATACAGAACTTACACGTTAGATTTTAAAATGCACAATTAAAAATTCCAACAAATCATTATATCCAGGATAAAAAGAATTCTGTTTACATCATAAAGTATACACTAGATAAGAATGAATTATTGTTAACATGGAGTTTAACAAGTTACACAACTAGTTTAACTGGTATACATTCATTCTGAGGCCCTGTTAGGTACAATGTCCGTGTGCACAGTCTCAGAAGTAGAACTAATAAGAGGCACCCCCCAGCTCTTATTTGATGGTTGACTGCAAGAGTCTTCTATATTCTGCACTTCCTTTAGTGTTAGAGGGAGGGAGGAATCATAGCTAAGAAGCTGTTTTTCATCTAGGAGAGCTATGTAGTCCTGCATAAAGATACAGCTTGGTACTAGTATTAACCACATAATTCTTCTGCTCTTGCTCAAACAAATCCTAACAAAATAAAATAATATACAATTCAGTAAGTTTTGTGCTTCTCAGTTGTTCTCTTGAGAAACTGCTGAAGTCTAGAGGAAGAAAGAGAGAAATGGAGAGTTTTCAGTTATTTTAAATAAAACAGAGGTCTCTGTAGCATGAACTCTAAATAATTGTATGACTGAAAAATGCAATGTCAAGTACTTATTATGCCTCCCAATAAATTTTCTGAAACATAAACACAGATTTGCCCTTTTCATGTAAGGGAAGGGAATGGATTTTTAAAATATCTAAAAAACATTATAATCATCATTATTTTTTAGTGCTAAACTACTCCCAATAATAATGATTAATTATCAGAAATTGATTTTATTGATTCTTTTTTAGCTGAGACACTTCTCAAGGGCTATCATGCAGACCAGCATTTTCAACAAGACAGAGAACTGCACAATTCAATTTTCTTCAAATGTCTGCCCTGAGAGAACTGCAATATCAGGATAAGGATTCTAGTCTCATATGGTTTTTCAAGTTCATAAATTCTGTTCTTTTTTCAAAGAGCACCCTCCCTCTTTTTAGTCTCCTTTTTTTAAAAAAAATATAAACTTGCAATATGAAATGTTAGAGTGAATATGTGCCATCCTGAATGTGTACAACATATTCTATTTGGGTGTTATTTTTAGTAATGAAAAGGCAGGATGGAAACTTTTATAATAAATCTAGTGTGTGTTTTTTCCTCTAGTCATTCTGAAGCTTTGTTCAGGCATAAAAATATACTGTTTCTAATACCCTTCCCTAACTATGGTTTTGTAAGACTGAAGCTTGTTTCCTGATGGCTTTCTCATTGCTTCTGTCAGCAGGACCACAAATGTCAAGAAACAAGTAGTGATACTTACATAAGGAGTCCTTTCTCCAAACTGACTATAGAACGTCATTTTAACTTTTTGCTTGTGCCCAGTTCTTTGATCAAAGGTCTGGCAGGTTTCAAATGGTGGACTGTACAAGTGGAGACTAACAGCCGTTTCAGTATGGCTTGGGTTCTCCACACGATGCAAACCAATGGAGTCTACCAAGGATATAAGAGCATAATAAATCAATGCAGCACAACAGTTAGTGTTAGATTGGGCAGATCCAGGTTCTCAATCCCACCCCTCCATGAAGCTCATTAAGTGACAGTTTCACTGGCTGCATTAACATGCTATATTTAAATGGGACTTTCAAAGACCCAGCATACATACCCAGGAACCCAGTTTATTTCTCAATCAGAATTGGACTTCCATTAAAGTATCCTGGGATAACTGTAGTTTACTCCTCTGAATCAGGTTATGTCCTGCAAACCTAGAGAGACAATGTTCCTTTCTGGCCATAGGACATAGATCAACCCCAATGGGGTACTTCTAGCACCCCATCATTTTTTTAAAAAATTCCCTGTGGAAACACAGGAAGGCAAAATAGTGAAAGAACAGTGAAGGGTTTCCTAAGCCTGTTTCCAATGGCTCCAACCCTAAACAGGTCATTATGGGTTTTAAAGACTTTTTTAAAACAGGTGTAAGACAGACAGACGGACAAACAACCACACAAAGCACTGGGAGACGTGGCTGGGCTACAAGCCAAGATGGCTCCTCTGCATTTTATTGGGCAGTTGCCATTTTCACTTATCGTGCGTTACTAGATTGTTTGGCAGGTCATTTTCTCAGGAGCTGTGGATTTTCATTGAGGGAAAATTGCAGAAACAGAAGTTATTCTCATTCATTTTTATGTAAAACTCTGTAATTTGAACACTTCCATTTTCAGCTAATGGAAGAGATCCCAGAAATGAAAAACAATGTACCATATTCTTCCGACTATAAGACGATACTTTTTTCTAAAATCCTTA